CCACCTGCACCAGATGCCCTCAGGATCCCCCACAGGGACACCCAAATAGCTGCAACTGTCTCTGAGGATGACATGGCACCCATCATGTGACTCAAGCTGCATGTACATAAATGTACCTGAAGTGGGAACCGAAGAAGTAACCTTCTTCTCACCTTTTCCACTTCAGGTAAGTTGTTGTAGTTTTCCCTTTCAATAATAATTCACCTTTTCCACTTCAGTCTGAGTGGCCAGGGACAGCTGTCCCATATCGGGCCCACCAGTACGCACACCCGATCTACCCCTCTGCGAGGTCCTCAGCACCGGGCGCTATACCCGGACCACCTCGACCCCAGACACGTCCCTGACAAGTTGTGCCCTGGACAGGGCTGTTCACAGGTTAGGCTGTGGGCCATAGAGAGGGGTCATGGGGACCTGGGGTCCGTCCCCTGACAAATACACAGTTGGCGATAACATACAGTCATTCACATGCCAATGGTTCACACCCCTCAATGGTTCATTTGCATGTAACATCCTTATTTCACCCCAGGATTTTTTTATTTTTTGCACACTTGTATATTATAACTATGGCTATGACTATGCAAAAATTTGACCAAATCAGACATAAAATGAAGGAGTGATAGCAGTTATCCAATGAGTTAACAGTGCACACAAAAGTTATGCACTTTGCACTCTCCAGGAACATGGCTATGACATCGCAGTGTGTCCTACAGCTTGGTGTGTTACCAAGGAACAGAAGGCCGCTGGCGCATGTGTGCATGTTTGTTTGTTGTGGTGAACGAGCACTTGTCAGACTTGGGTATACTTACATCCGAGTTTCCAAATTCAGTACCTCAAATTTATTCCTTTCTGTGCCTGCTGCTTTTACCAGAATCAGTAATGGCCCACTCCCTGACAATGCACAAGCAAAGCAGCTCAAGCAGTAGAGCAAATATTCTGCAAACCCTTGCTTCATGCCATATTACTGAATTATCGGTTCGGCATGTGAACTAATTGTCACACCATGTCACACTGAACCATTATTTCCTTGTCTGCTTTTATTCTCGTTCATTTTTCATCCATTTCTTTATATCTCTCGGTAATATGTACATACCCAGCCTGGCTACTATCCATCGTAAAAATTTTGTATTTGGTTTTGATCCAATGTCATAGTCTCAAAATTACAAAATGTGAACCATTGGCCCGTGAATGACTGTAGAGGCACGGGAGATTTCGAAAAGTCACAAAAGCAAGAACACGACACAATTAACCTTGATGGCTCAATGGAATGTTGGTAAGGGTTTTGATACTGAAGGCGTTTGAGGGAGAGGAACGAGCCTGGCAAAGCGGAAAGAGACATCGAGAAGAACGGTTAACGGCTGAAGAGTAATCTACAACGACGCCCCCTTGTTCCCATGGCGGTGGCGGGTTGTTCTTAGTCAATTAGTTGATGACCCAATTGCACTCCCCAATCGCCACACGATCCAGCTGATCCCAATAGTAAACTGTAGCACCAGCGCGAAAAGAAGCAAAGGAAAAGGGAAAAATCAGCATTGCAGAAAAGTCTGGATTAGGGAGGGGGGGGAGGGGGGACCAAAAGCTTTTCCCACTCACTAGTACAATGAGCGATCAACCGTCCAATTAGCGGAATCTTTTGCAAAAACACTCCAATCAGTTCACGCTTCGCTTCGCCAGGCTGGGCCAAATGTTCAGCTCGTTGTTTAGCAATCTCTTCTTTGGAGAAAGCAGAGTCGAGGTGGACGGTCGTTCCATAGGTAATGTGGTTACCCGCGACGTTCGAGCTGGAGAAAGAAGGTCCATTAGTTTCAAATTATCACTGAAAGGGGAGTAGTGTGGTTTTACTTGTCAGGTTCATTACGCAGCTTCAGTTCCGTCCCCAAATGGGCAAATGCAAAGCCATTATCTAAAAGCAAGCCCGCGCGAAGAGAAAACGGGATCAAACAAATCATTCGAAAAACTTTCAATGTGTGAATAGTACGTACTAGGAGAGATTTGCAATGAATTGTAATCTCCCAATTCAGGCAACAAAGTGGCCACTACAAAAGTGCAAAACCCCCCATCGTCAGACCCTCTAACGTTTTTTTTTTTGCGAACTCCCCAAGAAACAAGTAATGGACGTACCAGCGTCATCATTCGAAGTGATACGCCACATAGTCTTAATCCTCTTCGAATCCCCAAACATTTTCCCGTTGAACGCTGGATTGAATAGAAAGCCTCGTCAGTCCTTCCAATCCCATCCTATCCACAAAGAGGGGAACTACTAGTCATACACCACAAACTAACTCACATTCAACAGAAGGCCTGTCGCAAAGGATAGGAGCCGCAAACAAGTACGGATTCCGAAGTTCTATTTTCTTCGGCAAGTCGTCGTTCATGACCATACGGGTATACACGAGCGAAGCTGTCGCACATCCCAACGAGTGTCCCGTGAACCAAAGGTTAATCTGTAAAGAAATGACATTAACAATTCCCAGGGAAGAAGAGAGAGAGAGAAAGGAAAAACAGATCTCACCTTGACATTATCTCCAAAACCATTCTTCTTTCTCAGCCACTTTGCCAAAGCTTTCGTCCCCGCCAATATCGTATCATAAGGTCTAAAGCTCCCCAACTTGCTCACGTCCTCAGGAAACACCCTCTCCTTGAATCCCTTGTGAACTTTACTAAACAGGTTCACATGGGTCCCCACGGGAACCATGAACGCGTTGAAATCCGATAACCATTCTCCGAATTCGATGGGACCTGTGCCTTTGAAGGAAAGGATGATCCAGTTGGAGTTGGGATCCCAGAATAGACCGGCGAAGGCCGATGAGGTGTTGTTCAGTTCTAATGGAGGGGAGAGGGTGTTTGAATAATGAGTAAATAGATAGAGGGGGAAAAAAATCCCCGCTCACCTGAAACAGGTTCGAAATCGATCCCAAACTTTGCACAAAACTCCCTAATTTTCCTATCCCCTTCACTATCCAACGCCTGACTCACATCATCACTTTTTTGTTCCCCAAACAGATCCTCCAAAAGCCTTCCCGGTCCATGAGAAGGAGGGTCCAAGTTCGTCCTGATACCTGACACGATGGACGATAATTGAGGCGCATACGTCTTTGGTTTGTCCGAAGCGGTCAGAGCGACGGCCTTTCGAATCGCGTCGTTATCGTGTTCGTAGATGACGGAAGCTATTTGTAGCCTAAGTGTCATATGCATAATCATTAGTTTTCGTTTCATTCGTTTCGGCCTGCCCCCCTCCCCTCCCAGGAGTGAAACAATTACTCACGTCAACTTTGCGATATCAAAATCAAAAAACCGTTCTTTCGTATTATCCTTCTGTTTCGCAATATCCACACCAAGCGCTTTCTTAGCAGCAGCCGCTTGTTCTTGAGTGAGTGCATAAAATAAGGATGGATTTCCGGCATTAACGAGACCCAGTCCTCCGCCGTATTTGGCAGACCAGCGGTAGTAGAGTCTAAATTGAAGGAGAGAAGGGGGTGGGGGAGTATTTAGTGACTATGAATGAAATGAGGGGTCAGACGTACCGGACGAGAACAGGGAAATGGGCAGCTAAACAGAAGATGAGAATCAAAAGCAGAAGCGCCGATCCTGAACATTCAAAGAAAGAGGAATTAAGAATCTATCACTGAAGTAGAAGGCTGGAAGATTTCGCTCACCACCAACCGCAAAGAATAGGAGCGAAAGCGCATCGAACAAACCGAGGCCACCAAAGAGGATGGAAATAATGACGGAGGTCCATGTTTGGAATAGGTAGCGGATATAACGACCGGTTTCGAGGAAGACAAGGGAGATGTAATTTCCGGCGGCCTGTTTTGTTGGTTAAGGTGTCATCGGAGAGGAGGTGATTATGGGCGACAGGTGTATGGGTGTGATAGAGGATGGAAAGAGGTGGGAATGAGAAAGTCAAGGAAAAAGGATGTGAGCGATCGTCAAAGAGATCACATCCTGTGAATTGGGCAGGAAATAGAGCAAGACACATACGTTGTACCGAACGGTTCGTTTATGGGTGTTATTCTGCGAAAGCCCAACGACTAATCAACCGCAAGTTAACCAATTCCCAACACAACACCAAGCGCATAACAGCGAGGACATGTCTAAGTGCGCGATTATAATGCAGGCAGTAAACACGATCTCACCTTCATCTAAACGGAGTTTGCGAAGAATGGAATGAATATCATCATCTCCATCGGTGGGGAGCGGTTCGTCATCGTGGACAGGGTTGTTGGCAGTGGTGGGGTTGGTACTAGGAGAGGACATTGGTGATGGGATTCGTGAGGTGGATCAATATCCGTCCCCATTGATATAAGCCCCCAACGAAACCAGGAATCAACGCAGTCATCCATAAGGGAAACGAACCTCGTGTGCTTCGTTTGCAAACCGGAATTCTTTCTCCATAATGAGTAAGGTGGGGTTCATTCTCAGAAGGCGAATCATATGCGTGAACCAACGTGAAAAATTGGCGCACCCGATTTTGGTTGACCATTGACCGATGACTCACCCAATTTGAATTGATCCAGCGATCATGATGCCATTTTGGATCACATGATTCGGCTAGGGCGCCGATTTGTAGCGGAGTTAGCCAGTTTATTTGTCTATTTGTGGGGCACATGCAAATGGCCGATGTGGATATGCAATGGATAATGTGCAATCGCTGACATCCACACACAACCCTTACGACTCTCACTACGTAATTTCCCCTAATCGGACTCCCACCTCCCCACATTGGAGCTGGTCGCCCCTAGGCAAGAGTGTTGGAAATGCAACAATCGGCGCCGTCATCCGACTGTCAATAATGTGATTATTGACAGCGGTGACTACCTGCGACAGTTCCAATTTCGTCGCAATTATTGGACGATATTTGGGGGCTCGACCCTCATATACTGTGTATCAAGAGGGAGAATTTCTTCCTCCCTCAGATCTCTTGTACGAGTCTGAGTCTAACGGGCCATAGCGCATTTATACATTTTAAATTTAAGAAAGTGACCAGCTTTTATAGTATAGAGGGTCACTGTACGGGTCAATTGCATCAGGGTATGCGCAAGTATAGCATCCTAATATTATGTAATGTCGACTGCGTCTACTGAGAACATCCGGGGTTGGACGAGTACTTCTTCGGAATCCTTCGGGTACCAGAATCTCATGACCGCCGAATTGTCGATAACTGTCCATCCTGGTCAGCTTTCGCTCGGTAGTCTTCGTCGCTCCACTAAGCGCACTGCCGTCACAACCGTCACTGAGGTGGTCTACTAGTTTAACACTGCCGGTGCTTCAATTAAATGGAGATACGGCAGCGGCGGTGCAACTTCGCACATGAACGACGGTCTAAGTGATGGACTTGAGAAGGATGACGACAGGAACCGGCGGTTGCATCCAAAACTGGCCTGGAATTGTCATTCTCAAGCTCGCTGACCACAGAATGAACATTAGCGCCCAGCGGCCTCCTCGCTTTCGGCCCCAGCAACCACATGCCAATGGAATACTTTGGCCTTGACGTATACAACAATCTCCTGCATCCAGCCGGAGACAAGATGTCTAAATCCCACTTCCCCTCAAAGAAGTCGGGTGGTAGAGCACAATCTACACTGGGGTGGTCGACCAAGCAAGGGTAATTAATATCACCCGTGTCCCTGTGGCCACAATAAATGCAAAGGGTCCCAAGCAGGCTCAACCCATACATGTGGGGGACGGGGCAACGGCGAAGCAACTCACCGCACCGTTGGCGCATCTGGGCATCCGCCTTCAGGCACGAATTAAGCCCATTATCGTCTTTAATCTCAGAAATGATAACCGGCTTGTTGAGTGATAACCAAAACAAAACCTATGGCGTCGTGCGCATCGAAGGGGGGTCTGCGGGGATAGGAGGAGGGACCCTTCAGTGAGAGAATAGTTAAGGAGTCTGTTATAAGGCCAGGATAACGAGATCGGTGGGATGCGTTTACGAAGCAGAATTTGTTGGTGGAGGAAGGCTTGCATTAGTAGCGACGCAAGTTGGGGAAAAACAAACATCGCGCGCCCAACCGATTTGGATGATAATGACCATTCAGGTCATGTGATCGGCCAAAATGGACGATCGACCGCTATTTTCCGAAATGGGAATAGTTACATAGCAAATCGATTTAATATGAACCGATTACGTAAGGGTAATTGTTTACTTCTATGTACGCGTAACGATGCCACTGCGCGAGCCACCCACCTAAAACGCAATCTGGCCACCAGAACAGAATAAAGCAAACCCTTATTTAACATGGATCTTGCCACACCCACTTACCACTTCCCCCTTCCCCAACACCACTACCCCCCTTCCTCTCTGCAACTTCATCCTCAGAGCTCCGACTAAGTCATTGCCAGAGGTCAGTAACTAACCAATGATCCTGCAATCTTCCGCCATGTCCCGGGCCTCTTCTTGTTCTGTCCTGGGTCTGGATGATGCACGGTTGTCTAAGCGGTCTGCTTTCCATCCGGCTGGGGTAGCCACTGCCGAGTCTAACACCCTGAACCCCACATCCACATCCTCTGCACGCACCCGCATTCATGCTACCGACCTCAGTGCTAAAGAGCGTGATGCCAAAGAAGCTGGCCATAGACGCGCGAAGGAGGAACACATTTCAAGCACAAACTATGGTTTGTCCCCCCTTCCCTCCTTTCTGACCGTATGCCTTTCATCTCTCATAATTAGGGACCACCACCCAGCGCACTTGCATTAGTAGCGCATGCGGTCCTAGTGCGCACCATTATAATGAGGACAAACTCTTGAGATACGAGCTTCAAGGAATGCCTCATCGTGGCATCCCATTCTCCGAGTTCATTGATGTTCAGTTCCCCAATCGTGAAAAGATTGACGAGTTGTTCAATGATATGACTGTCGTCGAGGAACACAGAGCAAGATTCCTTCAAGTGGCTCTCATGGAGACCGATGAGAGGAGGATGTACGAGCCGTTCGTGGCTCTAGTCAATTCGATCCTAGGGCTTGTTGATGGATCGGAGATGGCGTGCATCGACCGGCACCGGTTCCCCCCTGGAGGGGCGGTGAAGAATGCTGACAGAAGGTTTGTGTTGTTGACTTGCGTGTTGATATTGCGGAAAGTAGAAAGCTGATATCGGTCTAGACCTGATGGTGTGTTTGTGCACAAGCGGGCCGATGGCTCTCTACCCCCGCCTCGAAGGAAAGGCTCCACTCCTCCGAAGGACGATCTTCGCTGGGATGAAGTTCTCATACCTGTAGAAATTAAAAGGGACGCAACCACCCTCCTGTCAGATTCAAGATTTCAGTCACCACCCGTGAAACTTTCTTACAATGATCTCCAAGAAAGTCTCAAGAACATCCAGTCTCGAATTTCCCTCAATTGTCGAGAACAACTGGCCTCATATGCTCTGGAAAGTCTCTCCGCGAACGTATTGAAGCGTTTCACGGTTGGGATGTTGGTGGTGAACGACATGGTGGAGTTATGGCATTTTGACCGTGCAGGCCCTCTGGGTACCTCAGTTTTGAAACTAGGAGACGACAATGACTTCGAGGTTTTCATTGATGCTGTCGCCGCAATTGGTTCTGCCTCCTCGTTGGATCTTGGTTTCGACCCGTGTTTCTTTCACGACAGTCCATGGCCGCACTATCCAACAGATTGTCTTGTAAAGATACCCTCGGACGACCCTTCTGGAAATGCAGGCCCCTTCGTAGCAAGGATTTCGTCAAATCACCCCTTCGACCAGCATCGTTGCCTGAGTGGCAGAGGCACACGCATCCTTCCTGTCACATTGACCGGCGACCCTAGTTCCCATATCTATGTCGCTAAATTAGCGTGGCAGCCATCTTCGCGAACGGCTGAAGCCGAGTTGTATAGAAGGGCTGGCGACATTCAGGGACTCCCAAAGATTGTCTTCTCTGGAGAGCTTGGGACGCTATCTCATGGTGTCCGAGGCCGTCTCGAAGACTTATTGCCCTTTCAAGAGTCCCTTCCAGGTGACCGTGTGCTGCGAGCCATAGTTATGGAGAAGAGGTTTTCACCTGTCTGGGGCCTCAGAATGGATGGTAAGCCGAGGAAAGATCGCAAGGTCTTATTAGCACAGCCTGATAAACTTCTCAAAATGATGCGCTCATGGGTTTCGAGTACGTATTCCTCTTAATTATGAGTTATGTCTCTCTTACTTATTTCCACAGTTCATCGTGCATTGTACGAGAGGGGTATCCTCCACCGCGATATTAACCCGGGAAACATCATGTGGCAGGAGGGAAAAATTGATCCTCAAAAAATCGCGGCCAAAGCGCTCCTCGTTGATTTGGACTTCTCAAGCGGTCCGGATGATGATCGGGGTTACGTTCCCGATGAGGTCCCCTTCACATTTTCTACACCCTTCTTGGCTCTGGATCTTCTCGAATCGTGCGATAAACCGCAACCTCACCTCTACCGTCACGATCTCGAGTCCTTCTTTTGGACATTTCTTTGGCTCACCCTCAGCTTCGCAAACGTTGAGTGTAATGGCCGATCTGCATCATCCTGGCAAATTGGAAGCAAGAAGATGATATACAACTCAAAGCGTAGCTTCCTTCTTGATAATGGTCACGATGACTTCTTCTCGGAGTTGACTAAAGCAAAGCCGTCAAATGACAGGCTTGTTAACAGCTTGAGGAGACTCAGTTCAATGTTTGAAGCGGGACACAAGGCCCTTGTGTCTGGGGCGGACCGCGGAACCGCAGGGAATTACATAACTTATGAAAATTTCATGATAGCGTTAGAGGGGTGAAATTTGTGCTACGAACTTCTGAGTATCTTCATGTAAATGTTATGCGAGACGTGATAATCTAGTGTTTCTTCCTCGAATGTGGCTTTCTCGGTTGACTGAGCACCCGAATAGTGACTATTTTTGGCCATGTATCCCTCACTGAACACCTTCCACAAGGGTAAAATCCACTCCTCCTTCAGAGGTAAGGAATCTGGGAAGTATGCGATTGATGGGAGTATCAGGAAGCCCCGCTTGTACATACGTATCTCGGACCACTTTCCTGCACTCCACTGCGAAAAATAACTATCAGTCGACTCTTTGGTTCGGTACAGTGCCATCCAGATTAGCACGAAGAAAAAGGATTCGAGATCGTGTCGATACCGAGTACGTGGAAGAGGATCAGGGTAACAAAGCTCAATAGAGCGAAATGGTAAAGTTGCACCCGGTAATGCAGGAACATCCAGAAGGACGTCGGTATCTGGATCCCTGTCAAGAGCCGCCATGTCCAGATCAATCAAGATGCCTTTACAGGGATCACCACAATCCACCATCAGATTGTTGATACTAATATCGCGGTGCAGAATACCTGCTTTTTCGTACAAATCATGATGTGCTGAAGTAATGTCAATACATAAACAAACAATCATAAAATGCGGAATAAATACCTTGAACCAAGGATATGAACGCCATCTTAAAATGATTATGGTCCTTGACTTTGTAAAGTGGTACACAACGCGGTCCCATTACCTGGACACGGAGTTCGCGATCCTGATAATATCTCTGGTCACACAATCTACCGCGTGTCCCTTCCGAGAGTCGGCCAACAATGGTAGAGCCGTAGAGTCTAGCGATACCTTCAACTCCGCGTGCATGGGCGATTCGAAAAAGCTCATCTTCATTATGTTTCAATATTGGCTGCCAAGCACACTTGACAATGACCGAATTGGGTATGGCGGGATCATTTTCAGGCCCATGCAACCTTTGGGCCCCATAGACTGTAGTTCCTCGCCCATATAAAGATGATGCTGAATGGACGACATCAGCAAGTTTAAAGTGCTCGCCTCCAACCTCAATCTCATGGCCTTCAGCGGTCCACCATTCTCTCCGGCCACCCCTCTCACTAGACAGCTTGAAGAAGGACTCGTAGCCCAAGCACGCTTTGTTCGCGAGAGAGAGATGAAGGAGAGTAGCGACAATTTGATGTTCGTCTTTCTCAAGATTAAGCGCACTCGAAGAGACAGAACCAGCACGGTCAAAGTACCAGAACTGTAACATTCCACCTTCGACATGCAGACCAAGAACATGACGCCTATTGCCAGGGATGCAAATGGCTTCCGTAGCATACTGGGTAAGATTTGGATGAAGGGGAGAGGATGCCACAGGGGAGGGCGGATGTCGCAGTTTTCGACGTTTTGATGGCCGGCGAGTGGCAGCTGAGCCTATGAGTATAAAATCACGAGGTCTTTTCGTCCCCCCAGGGGAATGATCGTAGCGAGGTTCCACGGGAATACGAGACAGGTACTCTGTGTCGCTTTCAGCCCGGGGAAACCCATAGTCGACGAGAGGGGGGGGAGCGAGACTAGGGTTGCAGTCGATAACGAGTATTGAATTCGAAAACTCGAAACCAAGCTCCTTATTCTTTATTGCGACACATTCAACACCGAGACAGCGAGGTTGGGGGATTGGGTGTTTCGGCCGCACTGTGCCAAGCTCTTCCGGACGTTTCCCATAATGGATATCGTGAGCATATTGGTGAGAAAACCCGAATGATGGCGCTTTCCAAACAACAAAGTTGAACAATCGCATTAGATCCACGTCAGGGTCAGGCACTTCCGAGGATAAAGGCGCATTCTTTTTGGCACAGTATCGCTCAAGATATGTCTTTCGATATCGAGAAAACTCGTCACTTCGAGCTATATCGTCAGCAACGGTATCGAGGCCAGGATATCTGTGGTTAGATCCAAAGATAGCATTCGTATACACGGAGAAGTCGACCTGGACATGGCTCTCCTCTTCGGGGGGCTTGGATCCAATGAACGAGGCAGTGGGTGGGGTGGGAGCATCGTAGAGAAATGGGGTTTGAGCAGCAGCGTCGGAGACGGAGCGTAAACGGGTCTCATACTCTTTCAGAGCGATAACACTGGTACTTGCTGTGTTTTGGGATCGCAGAGAAGATGTCTGCCTCTTCCTCAGTTTAGGTGCGCTTGGCCCTAGTGAAGATCTTGAGCTAATACACTGTAAGGGGGCATTCCACGAACCGGAGCATGATGAGTAGTTATCTTGTGCCTCTCGTTGGTCATATTCTTCCCAAGTCATCAGCACGAACAGCAAGGGGTTTTTTCAAGGGGTACAAAAGCAGGTTGAGGCTTGGTAGGGAAGGGAGCTACCGGCGTTGGCCAGCCAAAGAGCAGACGGAGCGGGGTCGGAGGTTGAGCCTGTGCCTTGGCCACAAGTTGTTGTTGTCCGCAACTGCGTTGACAGTGCGGCGATCCCGGTACAACTGAGACTTGTAGTACAACTGAATGTATATATGAGGCGATCGTGGTGAGTGGGCAATCGACAAACAAGGAAAGCACTGCCACGTTCGACTCAGCCGAAGTATTACTGGTCTTCCTTGGTTCGTCCGAGCCGCGAAATACTATGAAATCATAGAGGCTGCCTTAGTAACGATTAATACTGCAGATGTTTAGCCAGGGCTGCGAGTCGCTGGATGAACCGATGAGGGAAAATCCAACGTAGTTTCATCAGCGTTTGGATTTAGTATGCATTTCGGACTGTGCATCTGTTAGGTTGGTCCGTGATCTTCTAGGTGCCTCCTCACTGCGGCGTCATTTCCTCCCAGCGCCCATCTTTATGCTTCTGTTCCCCCGCTCCCATCCAGCCTTAAGAACATTTCAATCACGGGGACTCGTTGATGCATCACGCAGATACCTGCATAGTCTGGCTTTTTACGAGGGATGCTGTTGGATTAGGCCCTGACGAATATTGTTAGTAAGGCGGATGGCCCAAATAATTTAGGTGGGTTCTTTCCATCGATTCGACTTGAAATAATCCCTTATATGTACTACACGATTTATTTTAGTTTCCCCCTTCGATCGACTAGCCACCATTGCTGTGTATACCCAGTGTGCTTGCCTTTCCACTAAGGTCGAATCCTGCCATGCGGAAGGTGTCAATTAAAAGCGTGGTGGCGGCACGAGTGGGATTTATTTGTGAGGGTGTGTTAGATGCAACCAGGTTAGCGATGCGAGAAGGCTTTGAAGGATGAAAATCTTCAGGGTACCAAAATTGATTCACAAACCCATGAGTGAAAGTTATTATATTAGCATTAGCTATAGAGACTTGTTTGGTTAGCATGCGCATCGGAAAGGACAATGCAGTGGACTATAGATCAGATCTCCCGTGGCATCTGCGGGAGGGATCCCCTGCCCCCAATCTATTTGCGCGGAAAAATAGACGCACATGTATTGAATCCTCCTCAAAGCATTCGATAACTGATGATCGGCGACAGGGGAACGTCCAACTGGTGACAGCCATCCCCATCTAGTTATCTAGATATTATGGCTTAGCGAGCTAAACTGGCTGCGGGAAAACTATCCCGTACGTTAATGGATGTTCAACCACAGCGACGAACAGGTGTCCCGCGCATTGGGCAATCGGGTCGAGTATCTATTGGACAGGACAATCGACTCGAGCGCACCATACCCGGGAGGCTAAGTGTGCATCAATCCCGAGTGCGTTAACCGGCACGTTGGCTGCTGGCATGGTTGGCTTCAGCACTGCAACACGCTGCACATCCATCTCCGCTGTGCTTTGCAACGAGATTATCGCACTGCCCAGTTCCGCCCAACATCACCCACGTTTTGACCCTGGCGCAGTAATCCACTTCATCGTTCGCGTATTTGTCCGATTGTTCGTACAAACGCAGTCTTGTCAGATCATGCTACATTGACAAGCCAGCTCTGTAACTGAGTCGGCTATCATCAACAGGTAACACACGTGCTTAGAAACCCAGCTTCCTCAACATTAGGGGGTTTCACGGTAAGCTAGATTGGGCTAAACTGAGAGTCTAAATCGAGTCTAAACTGCACAATACTGGAGCGAGTTTTGGAGCGGGCTTAAGCCGCTGTTAAGACACGATTTGAGGGCGTTCACAGTAAGCACTCTAAACTGGAGTCTAAACTGGAGTGTCCCTGGGTTCGTTAAATCCGTCTGAGGTATCAGGTGCTTGGCTTATGTAACCATGCAACTGGTAGTTGAAGTCGACGTTGGGCACTTGTCTGTCCACACTTTCCTCCTGACTCACCACCAGGGCTGATAGTGTGTGCTATGCTTCATGATGGACTGGGTGTATACGCTCTGAAATGGATGATTCTAGTTTGAATGTAACGGTTATAATGCCAGTCCTATCTCAAGTTCCATCACTAGCACCGACTGTCCCTATGATTCCAACTTGCACTCTTGCCCATGGAGTAGGACAGCGATTGATAGCGGGTACCATTACATGTGGGATGATGCGCTTGTAGAAGTACATATGGATTTGCTAGTAAATTCACAAATGAAAACGGATGTGCATTGAAAATTTTGGGGATGAGCTTGTATAGGTAAGGGATATATAACGGGGGTGTCGGAGGTATAGGGGACTATCAGACCCAGATTGGGGCACTCATGGAAGTGGGGTGTGGGTTGTATCATGAACTGGTGCAGCGGTATGGCAAGTCTAAAGCATGCATGTAAATTATAGCGTCCTTCGGCACTGGAATGAGACTCACTGGTTGAACACTAGCACAGGCGCTGCACAAAGGACAACATCCAAGGGAGAGGGGTTATGCCTACCCAACGTGCCCGCTGTGACTGAAAGAGGACAAATCCTTGGATCCGTGGGATAACTGTACAGTACTAGAGGGACATGGAGTTTAGAGAATGATAAGTCCGAGTTTAGAAAGCTGTTTAGAGTTGAGTTTAGACCAGTTGGGGCGTGTGAGCCCCAAGAGCTAAACTGGCTAAACTGGTCAATTTTGCCAAGACTTTTCAGTTTTGATCTCAGTCTAGGATTTCAGTTTAGACCTCAGTTTAGACCTGTTTAGAGTACCGTGAAACCCCCTATTATATGAAGCTCACTCCATCGAGTCTCACATCGTGCGGCCACTTCCCAATAACTCATTACTGTTAGGAACATGCGCGAAAATAATCACGGGTACGACAAAGGTGAATAAGAATCAGAAAAGGAAACATTGTAGTAGTGGGATGCAGGTGGCGAGGGTGGTATCTGGGTAATTGTGGGGAACCCTGTGATGATTTGGGGGGGGGAGGTGCGGAATTTAAATCGTTGGTGGTGCGTCCTATAATGAATGTGGAGCGAGGTAGATGCAGGTGAATCGATGAACGCTAATCATGCAACAAGTTTCGCTTGCCAACACGGCAGAAACCATGTAAGGACATGCGAGCTGGTTTCAAGCCGAAGGCGAAATATTGTCCATGATGTCCGTTCGGTATCCGAATCATCGACGTTGTCTCGTCGATCGTTGGGACTTGGATGGTGTTTCTTCCGCCATAGCGGCGGTGAAACTCTGAGCACCAGGAGCGGCGCCATGTGCCCATGCAGAGTATCCCCCCGGTGGCATAGCTTGAGGGGTCGTCGAAGCCGGCGGTGTTTCATGTGAGGGGGGAGCGGTAGGTGCCGTCGCGACCGCCTTGCCTTTGCCCTTATCTTTTGAGGATGCACCACGTTTGGAGGAGCTAGACGGGCCAGGGACTGGAGAGGGCGAAGTCGGATCCGGAAGCTCGAGGGTAGGTGAGGCTGCAAAAGTTTGTGAAGGACCAACATATGTTTCAAACTGAGCATTTGAGTTTTGCGTGTCCTCGCTGGTCCCAGGCTCCCATGCACTCCATGTTTGCTGGGACACCACCTCTTCTTCGTTGTCTGCTGAAACCGTCACACTGTCGATGTAGTGTGAACTGGACGCTGCGTCTTGCATCATCTCATCTTCGTGGTCATCTTCGTCCTCACTTTCCTCATCCTCTTCGCCGACGCGAGCGGCCTCGATGTCGTCATCTCCTTCCATCCCAAAATCCCAGACGTCGAGGAAGGTGTGTTCCTGGGCGTTGCTTGCGGCCACGCAGAATCGTTCGTCAAAGACGACTTGCCAGACACCAGTGATGTTGGTGAGTAAATCACGAATGACAGTCCCATCTCGCGTATCCCACATCTTGAGCGCTCCATCTGAGCCAGAAAGGACTTTGAATTCATCGTGCTGGAAACAAGTAATAGCACCAGTATGTGCAGAGAGGACGTGTTGCAGGGACCCAGAAGTTGGATCCCATATCCGAAGCGTGGAGTCTGCCGCAGCAGATACAAGGGTAGTGGGAGAAAGGGAGAGTAAACCAACGAGAGAGGTATGACCAATGAGGGTGTGCAACAATTGACCAGTCTTGAGCGACCAAATTCTAACGCTCCCGTCCATTGAACCCGAGCAGACTTGATTGCGAATGGAATCCAGCACGACACTATAAACTGTAGAGCAGGAAAAAAAATTAAACCCAGTGCAAGAGGATAGCGAGTCGATGCCTACCTTTCTGTGTGTGCCCTGTTAAAGTAAACTTACAATCTCCAGTTATAATGTCCCAGACACGAACAGTAGCGTCATAACTCCCGGACACAAGTGTGCGTCCGTGGGCGGCCAAAGCCCTCACAGCGTGCGTATGACCTTCTAGCAGCCTGATGTGATATGGATTTTCACGCACGTCCTCCTAATGACCGGTCAGCCATTATTGATAACTGTAGACAATGTAATAATAATGCCCCACCTCAGCTGGATCGTCTTCCGTCGTATCAGCCCCAAAGCATCTATACTCATCTTCACCCCTCCCGGGCAACCTCCAAACCCTAAGCGAGTGATCCCGGCTGCCAGTAACAATCAACGTCCGCTTGGGCCATTTCTCCTTCACACCACTCCCATCATCCTTCTCAATCCAAGTCGGCCTCACAACCGCCAAACACCTTACAGTACTCGTATGTCCCCCAAATACATGCGTGTTTCTCCCTGTCGCAAGATCCCAAATTCTCACGGTCCGGTCAGTCGAGCCGGAGACAAGCAAATCATAATATTTGGGAGACGCATGAGGATTGCGGGACACAATCCTTCTCGAACACACCGCGAGCGCCCACACACCACCTTCGTGTCCCTCCAAAATCCGGATTTGCCTCCCATCAGCCGGATCGTACACATGAATGGAATGATCGTCCGAGGCAGAGATGATTCTTCGACGAGAGAACAACAGACACGTAACGACTGAGGCACCATGAGCAGGGAAGTGTAAACGCTTGGGTGTTGTCTGAGTCCAGCGGGAAAGGATCGTGTGGCGAGCTCTAAAGAGAAGCTTATAAGGGTGTGGAAGGGGTAGTGAAGATACAGTGCTGCCACGTCTGAAAGCAGGCGGGTGACGCGCGCGGTACTCTTCCACTCGCTGAGCAAAGGCAACCTCCGAAGGGCCACCGAACCATGTTCCGGTACGTTTGAGAAGGTTCATCCATATGACAGGATCGGAATCAACTAGATTCCTCCAAGAACGGGAGACTCGAGCAGCGGCAAATAAAGCGGAAGGCGGCAAGAATTGAAGGATGTTCGAGGCAAGTTCGGGAGGAAGCATCCCGACGAAATCGCGAGCGAGGGTGGGGGTAAGGACGGAATGAATCATGCGAAGCACTTGGAGTGGTGAATGACGCAGGAGGGTAAGAATGTAGTGGGATTGAAGGCCAGGGGGAGTGAGATGTAATGTGTAAGCAGATCGGGAAGAGCTAAGAGTGTCGTGAGTGAAAGATCCGGCTGAAACGGAGCTTGAGCCTCAGTAGAAGGGTTAGGCGCCCATAATACTTGACCCGCGGGGCTCGGCTGGGGTGATGGGAGTGGTGATGGAGGTGCAGCATGAGATCGAGTCACAATTTGATCAGACGGACGAGCCTTCTTGCGAGGAGGCGGACTGCGAGCAGTATCGTCTATACCTTCCATCACAACATCGCCACTGTGAGGATCATCTACAGGACTAGTAAGACCAGAATCACTATGCACCCGCTTTCGAACACCAAAGCGGTCTATAGCCTCGTTTAATCCGACTACTACCTCCTTATCCTTTTTCTGATTAGATGAGGATGAATTCATCATTTGCCACCCTTCACCTCCGATGACATCTTCGCCAGCCCATTGAGGATCAGTGTCTTCATCCGAATCACCTGGATCATGGAAAACAGCGCGAGTTCCACCAGGGAAGACAAGTGGGAATCGACGCAAAGACCGCGGCACAGGCGCATGCAGCAGCGGATATAACTTGGGATCTTTCAAAGTCGGCTGCGGCGGCAAAGGTGGCAATGTGATGGGAGCATACGTCGTAGTAGTCGTCGTAGTCGTCGTAACACTAAAGAATAACCGAGGAAAAGGGGGTCAACACGACGAAAGACGCGTTGTGCAACCAGTGGCGTGGATAATTCACTCACACAGTGGTTTTTTTGGCTGGCCCAAGGATTATCTGCGGACCTTGTGACAAACCATAGCTCTGGTGTGTCTGCTGATGACCCCCCGACATTGGGTAGCTCATCGCTGGCTGGACTCTGCACCGAGCGGCAAACCTGTAAGTTGCACGGCGGCTTGACGCTCTGGTGTAATACGGCAGAACGGAGTTTGGCGGAGTTTATGCCTGTACATCCGAATGCGTGACATTCGATCCATTCGAATTACATAATTTGAATTTCGCATCAGTAAAAGGCAATAACGCGCGCGCTCTCGGCTCACACGGAGAATCGCCCGCAGATATCGGCGCGTGGAGCCAAAAAGATCGATTATTTTATTCCAGGTGTATGTGGTTGAATGGTGATCTTCGAGAAAATTCAGTTCAACCGTCAACGTCATGCATACATTACATGCACACCAGTACTGAAATTCGACCCCATAGAACATTGCTTACAGCGTTATCGTACAACGCCAGTGTTGCGCTATAAATACAAAAAATGTGCATACACAGTAGTGTAAGTCCAGAACGGGATAGCGAACGGCAAGAAACCCAAGTAGGCATGAGGGAAAGCTGCGATGCATGGAAAGCATATCACAATGACAAAAACAACCCCCAAATATCTCACGATTCGACAAATTAATGACATGTCATTTTGACATTAGTGTCATACCTTCGCCAGGGAGAGATAATTTGGCATTCTTCCCACTTTTCCTCCTTGCCCTAGCAGCAAGTACATCACTCCTCCTCTGACCTCTTGCATAACTGTCCAAAATGGCTCGAGTCTTCTTGTCTGCTGCGGCCATCGACCGTCTCGGACGGGCCTGTTGTAATGACGTCCGCTTAGCGGTGACGCCTGACAAACGTAATGTCTTAGCGGGACTGGTAACAGCACCGGCAGTCCGCTCGCGTTGTTCCCCCAACTTCGCGATGACCTTCGAGCGAGAGATGCGAGGTCGGCGAGAGGGTGTCACGCCTGCTTCGAAAGTCATCCCCGTTTTGGGAAGGAGTGTTGTGGGAGCGGGAGTGGCAAGAGTAGAGATAGTTGTATCGGCTTGTTGCGGATCTGATATCGGGTTGATGGTCGTTGAATTAGGGGAAAGAATCCTAACTGCAGAGCAGCGCAAAGAAGTGGGAGGGGACTTCAAGTGTGCAAAATCAGAGGATTTGAATTTAAAGCCTTGAGCTACAGGAAGCTTTGAAGGAGTGGCGGATAGGATTGAACTGGTGGGTGAAAAAGTAGATCTTCCAACAGACGAAGAAGGTTGAGCCCCAGAAGGTTTCACATTCCCGACGTATCCAAATTTACTGGCCAATCCACGGGAAGAAGCAGAAGACAAGACACTGCTCGAGGCTGTCGAGTTCCTCGTCCCAGATTTGGAAATTCTCACGCTCCCAGAAACGCTCCCATTGAGTGAAGGCGCGCGAGTTTTGGCAAGAGAGGAAGCTGTCGGCGCGAAGAGTGTGGAAATGGATGTGTCTCCATCCTTGGTTTGATTTTTCGACAAGAAATTCGGCTTTCTCAGAAGCCCGATGGAGGAAACGGTCCCGCTCGTGGTTCCAGAAAGCCGCGAAGATCGAGAATATAATGTAGATGAACGAGCGCTAGACGCGCTGCCCAGCGCACTGGAGGATTTGGTGGTACTCAAAGCTCCAGATCCTCTGCTGGAGGTAGACCGTCCCTGGGTGGTGGAAGTGAGGGAGGGTATGCTCGGACGCACCAATGGTTTTTGTGACGGAATTGGCGGGGCGGGGCGGGATGGTTTTGCAGGTGCCTCCAAGGGTGTAGCAGTTTTTGGCTTGGCTGGCCGGAAACCGACAGAAGGTGCAGTGGGCTTCGTGTGGTTTGGCGCGTGGGTTATTGAAGTGTCTTTTGCAATCGCAGGTTTCGACGAGGTAGAGGTCGCAACATCGCCATCCTTGCTCTCCCTTGTGGGAGGGACTCCTGCAGGTGCTACGGCCGCACCCTCTCCACCCACAACAGCGGTGAACACGCTCTTCATGACGGACTTGGCTGACTTCTTCAAAAATCCGAATCGACCCATAAGGCCCTTCGGTTTACCTAATTTACAACGCGATTGATTCAGTTTCATTTGTTGAGGACCCGAAAGACCACCACTCACTGCTGCCAAGCACGGCATTCTTTCCAAGACTTCTCCGACCGACGCTACTTCTGCGTCGTTGCCCGGTTTGACTCACTCGAGCTTTGGACATCGATTTCCTCTTGGCAGCTGTTACAGCAGCCTCAATCTTCTTATTCGCCATGGCCGACAGATCCACGACTTCCTTTGCCTTCTCTTCAAGTACGATCGAGGGTGCTATCCCTTTCATGGAGGTTCTCGCTCGTTTCGCAGCTCTTTCCTCACCGGCCAGAGGAGCAACTCCAATTTGGAGAACAGACGGTCGAGTGGGAGTTCGGCCGCGAGAAGCAAAGGACGTTCGGTTTGGCCTTGGAACGAGATGAGAAGTTCGAGGCTTGACCCCTGCGAGAGATGATTTGCGTGGTGAGTTGGAAAGACGTTGTCGAGCGCGTACCCTCGCACGGTCGTCCAAAATAGAGGGCATCCTATTATGCGAAGGGCTAAGAATGTCAACGGGAACCAAATGCATGAACGAGCTCACTTGTTGAACTCGCGCTCATGGGCAGCTACAAAGCGTGAGTACCCTGCTGCTTCGGGTGCAGGCTCAGGCTCACGAGCGCGCTTCTTACTCGCCTCGTTGAAAAAACCAACGGTAACGGTCGCAGGAAGGTCATTCACAAGCAAGCGGCGATTCATTTCTTGCAGAATCTCCGCACGCAAACTCGCTTTCTTGGCCTCGTCCATCGAAACACCAGGCATCGGTGAGCGGAACGTAAACTCTGTTGTCGCATGTGTGAGAGCGAGGTTGAATTTCGGCGAGGCTTGACGATTTGGATGGACATCAGGGGTTCCGGGAAGGGCGTCGGAGGGTTGAGAAACAGATGGAAGAACGTGGTCTGAAGAGGCGCTACCAGAGTGCGAATCGGGCGTTTGAAAACTCTCAGTTTTGTCGAATGTTGGGGAGATGGGGGATGAAGAAGGGAAAATTACAGATTTGCCTCTGAATGGAGAAGGCATGGCATAATCTGGAGAAGAAGGTGGCTTCCCCACGAGTCGAACTGTTGATGCAAGACCAGCCTCGTTCATATACACCGAATTTATTGATGTATTTGGCTCGGGCTCGGGTTCGGGCTCATTGAAAGGTTCGAACTCTTTCACATCGTCGTGTTGCAGTTGAGACGAGGGATAGGTTTCGGTCGGGGCAGGGAGGCTTGTCATAGAGCTGGAGGCCAGCAGGTTTGACTTGGAAGAGGAGAACGATCCATGTAAGAGAGTGGCAAGTGCTTTTATCGAGGATGTCACACTGGAAGCTAAGGCGACAACAAAGACGTAAATCGGCCCTATATCATTTCAAAGATAACTTAGACCTTACATTTACTTGAGCTTTCGCCGGTTCCAAATTCATTGATCGTGGATAGGTTTTGGAAGTGTGTTCGATACTCCTGCTCCGGGGGCTCCTCGATGAGAGACCAGGTCTCGCTAGGTCGAGGCGCAACTATTTCGCCACTATGGGTCTCCTCCGCATTTCCCTCCCCGCTTCCGAGCTGAGAATCGATCGCAGAAGGATGGTCTCTGCCATATTCTTGTAGCTTCCCGATCAGTTCTGGATTCTACAAGCAAGCTCAACCCTCTAAAACATCGCTAATCGACAAAAAAAACCAACCTTTCCTATTGCTTTTATCCCATGCCTCTTGCATAGCTGCACAAGCTGGTTGCGTTTAAGGGAGTGAAGAGCAGGAGAATTAAGCAGAATATTATCTGACGACATTGGAGACTTGTAGAGGCGAGGAGTAGATTATAAACGTGTAGAAACGCGCCAGGACCCACGAAAACGTAGGATCAAGCCTCTACTCCGGGACTATGAGGAAATGCAAGCTTTTGGGATGTTGTCGCGCTTCAGAACTGAATGTGGGGCCTTGTTGAACACGAAGAAGTAAAATGAGCCCCGGTGGCAACAAATATGTACACACAAACAATCACACTCTATTAAGCCCTTCCATTCAGTCCCCACATAACCACAGACAGTGAAGTGCCTGGAAATCATTGGAGTCGGGTAACGCCTGCCTGCTATCTAGCCCATTGATAGTCCTGAGAAACCGAAGGATTAAGCCCTTCATACAAGTGCGTATCCTGTTAGGCAGGATGCCCCTATACCCTGTGACTCGGTCAGGGGTGGAAGAGACTTTTCATGCTGCAGAGTAGACTTCATCTCGTATGTTCTTACCCCGCAAGTCAGGTAAGCTAGAGATTGCACCTCAGCTAGGATTCATCCCGGATGTGCCTTTAACTTAGCCCAGAATTTATGTTCTCCCCTGAGATCAAGGAGTGACAGGTCCATGGGACACAGCCGTAGGAGTGAGATACGAGCAAGTGGGTATAACACTTTGCGGAACTCCCCTGACGAAACATCCATTGTCTGATACTGGTTTCAATTGCGGCATGCAGGCCGTGCAACGTTAACGGTTGCTGAGGTGAGTACCCCAGCCACACCGGTCGCCACCGGCTTCGAACCGAGCTATATAGATCCCAATTTTTCCACTTCTATCCTAAGCCGCAGCCCGGCGACCGCCACAGCGCAACCCGACCCAGACAAGATCGAGATGTGCGTTGGGGAGAATGAATTGTATGTTGGTTATCGTGCCTGATGTCGGGCGCGCCATCGCCCCACCCTGCAACTAGCTTACGTTATTGAGAGTGGTGGCGTAGTGTTTCCTTTCCTGGTATGTAGGCTACCATGCTTGTGCGCCATTCAGAGTGCTTTTACTAATAAAGTGAAAATTTTACGTTTACGTCTTTCCTACGACGTCACTGAGGTGAGATATCACACCTTGTTTTTCTAGTCAAATTCCCCCCCGTGTCAACTCGTGTTCCCCAGCGCTTCACGCAAGGTAGTTTTCTTCCTTGGATGCAGCCCACGTACAGCGCTTCCAGACTAGGTTTTAATATGTCGATCCCAATGATATCACTCCCAAGTCCAAAAGCGGAATGGCTATCGAGAGGGAGTGTTGCGCAAGCCACGATACCTCCAATGAAGATTGCGCCGGGCGAATTCGGCATGTCGTGGACAGCCGCCGGATCAATTCGAAACGTGTCAGAGCGAAAACGGGACATTGGCCGGTTACTTCCTAGTATCAACCTGCCTCCATACGCAACCAACGATCATCTCCTGATGCAATACTTGACCCTCCCAACGTCCCCTTTTTTCACGACCGGTAAGTGTGTCCTCGCGTAATGGGAGAAAGCCACCAGGATCACCGGGGATGCCAGACACTTGCATAGGGTCTGAGCTATAGGCGCCCACGCGATTCGTGAAAGATTGAAGATGGCGGGGCGAATGCAGGCATGATCCTCACGTAGGAATCGAACGGAAGAAATGACGTCAAGGAGAGCAGGTTCAATTCTTGAACCTACCTCGACCCTCGTGCGATGGTTTTAAACCTTCTTTCGTAGGTTGATCTGTCTGTGGGGCACACGCTGCGTCATAATTTACAGACTTTGAATACGACTGCGATTGGTCTGATCTGGACTTGCTCTGGTAACACGATCCCCATTCGATCTGCACGCACGCATTGGCCTTACAATTCACGATAACACGATAGAACTCTTGCAATTCGGTGTGAACCGGCCTTGCGAAAAGCGTACTGAACAAGTGGTTAAAGTCATTGGCCTGTTTGGGTTACTCCATTACTCGTGAAACTCCCCTATCTCTCAGAAGACGTTCGGTAGGCATGATGGATTCAGACTTGTTCCTTATGATGAAACGATCGGCAAATCGGAGGGGTCGTAATCCACCTCCAGGCACTGTGCCACTTTTCCTCACTGATGCCCATCAGTCATCAATTAATTTCTTTACTGTCTCGTGGTAGAATTTAATTTCTGTTGTGACGGCAGGAAAGATCAACTATTGAGCTGATTGGTTTCAGTGTCGCGCGTCGGTGCAGTGCGTGTGTAAGCGCTCAGGAACATGCATGGATTCCGTCCGAAATAATAGTGAAGCATTTTTCGGCTGCCAAAAAATCACGCTTAAAAATGTTTTTAGGGCTGGTCGTCATCGAAGGGGAAAGCTTCCAGGCACTTAACCAGTAGATTGGCACTTGGCTCGTCGAACCGAGAGCTTGGGGAAATTGTTTTTAGGGAAAGAAAAAAAAAACTTAAGGTAGCCGCTGGGCCGAAGCACACCATCAGCCCAGTGTACAAAAACACTCAACACACCCTGTTTTACGGTCTTCCAGGGAGCCTGGAGACAGTTCAAGTGTTTTTCCACCCTCTAGCTCGGAACCTAGAGGACCTCGTCGGATAAATTATGTTCTACTTTAACGACGATCTCGTACTTCATTCTGATGCTCGTCCTTCCAGAAGCTCGTTACTAAGATCGGCAACACCCACCCATCCTCAACTCGTCCCCAAGTCATGGACTGCAGCTCTCCGGCCGTCTCTCGAAGTCGTGGCACAGGTCATTGCGAATGCCGTCCTCGAGAAATTCGACCTCATAACCTGGCCTCCTCGTCTATTTGCCGCCATTATCTTGGCCAATCTACTCAGCTCCGCATCCTTCACGATACTTAGGGTCATAAATGTGTCCTCGCTTACAGCGCTTTTGAGGGAATCTGTCCGATAAACAGTGAAATGGGTATCAATATGTTTCGCGGAAAATCACCTCAGAAATTGGCCAATTGATGAGATTTTTATTTTTAATACAGTAGAATTGTATTCTAATACAGTATGTTAGCGCTTGCACAGCCATTCCACGTTCGCCGTTGATGATGACTGTATCAACGGGGAACTGGCTCTCAATCTTGATCCTCACACTGGACACGGCCAGGTCATGTCAGGCATTTAGTTTCGCTATTTGATGACTTGCGGAACTTTCGAAGATGTCCAAATGTGATTGCTATCATGAAATGCTAGGATGTCTTCACGGAACTCTGGAAAGTTTGACAGCATGGCCATCATGGAACCTTATGAGTCCCTGGTGGTGCGATGTCATTGGAAATGCATTCAGGAGCCATAAATATGGGTTCTGGTGAAAGGTGAGTCCTTGTGTGGCTCTTCTCTGAAGTGTATCTCAATTCTTGTTCTCAGTTCTTTACTCCAACTATGCCATAGATGTACAATCTTGACTACTATGTACTCAACAAAGACAGGTGTGCATGCTGGAACAATGACCACATCATGGGGTTGGCCCTGCCCCCACTCCCAAAAACACCGGCACAAGCATTCCAGCAATATTTTGCAAGGGGAAATGCTCTCTTCTTGCCAGGCAACTCCGATAAAGTCCTGGATGCTCTGGATGCTTCAACACACAACTTACTCCCAGAAGACTGGATTGTTCCATTTCCACAAAATTGTAGGGAATTTGATTTGCATCCTTGGATAAATCTGACATTGAATCCATTCAGGGGATGCACTTCCACTGGGCGATCCAACATGGATTCAATGTGAAACCTTCATTTCCCAGAAGCAGAAGGCTGGGCAGGAGTGCAAACAACATGGACAAGTGGCTACTGCTGTCCCTTCTGTGCAAGCAACGGCCATAACAGTCACAACAGCTCACTTTCTTGTGCCCTCTCTGTAAGGAATGGATGGTGGAGCAGTGTTTATTACTTTATTTCTTGTTGTACACAACTGTATTTACATTTGTATAGCTCGGGCTTGGGTAAAGGGTTCTTTACTCTTTACCCCCACCCCTGTCAAATCTAAGCTCAATACAGCCTACAATCTTGACAGCTAGAGGACTGAGGAGTCACCCAGGTCGGAACCCACACCGACCTTACACTCTCCATCTCAACAACCATATACTGCATACCCAATTGCATACCCACTCTTGCCCTTTCCCAGCCAACCACCAATATTTCTTCCTCCCTCTCCCCCTATTGCCACCCTTGCCTCAACACCTAATGCCCAGCTGCCATCAAAGTCTCCAAACAAAACAGAAGGTATGTGATTTTTTTAACTTCAAATTTTCACTCATCACTAGCTTGCATGCAGAACTACTCGAAATCTGCTATCAATGCGACACATTGAATCCCAGCAAGGTCACTATGGAAGCAAGTCTCTATTTACCCATGGACTGCTCTGCCTGTTACAGGAATGGGTTCCGGGGAACCCAACCTGAGCCGTTCAGCTCACTAATGGAGGTGGCTGCGTAGCCATCAGAGGGAGAGCAGAATAGGATGAGGGTATGGGAGTACAACCTGTGTGTCAGCCAACGGTAACTTGGCGCTCCTGAGAGCGTACCGGTAGCGAGTATGATGTGGGCTCCTTGAGGGAGCCACCTGGCTGTCTGCTAACGGGGACTTGGCACTCCTGGGAGCATGCCGGTAGCGGGTGTGCTGGGAGTGTCTGGCTAGTGGTGACTTGGCACTCAATGGAGCGTACTGGTAGTGAGGGATACTGGGACTCCCAAAGGGAGTCACCCAGTTGGTGGCTATCGGTGACTTGGCGCTCATGGGAGCGTACCGGTAGCGGAAGTTGTTGGGGAAAGCGGGCTGGTGGACCAGTGCACGGTAGTGGGTGACCGTGGGAAGTGGGACCCGCGGGTGCGTGGCCAGGCATCCTGGAGCTGCCTGGACTGTATCCTTCTCCTGAGGAGGTGGGATAGGCTACAGTTCCTGATAGGGAACTTCTGGTTGGATGGGAGTAACCACTCGACCACCCGGTGGACTGGTGGGAGTGGACAGCAGGAGGTTGGGCATGGGAATGCCCTCCTCATTGCAGTTTTGTCATGGAGAGGAGGAATAGGGAGGTGGACATGGTTCCAGGGTTACAGGTTGAGTTTACAGTGGTGGCACAATGGTGAGGATGTTACAATCGCGGTACAAGGTTTTTGGGTTATGTATTTGATAATGAGAAAACATCTCGGCAATTACCATACATGTCATATGACTTGTATCTATCTAATACAAATGTTATAATGGCCAAAGGAAGTCCTTTGGAAATCAACAAATCCCCCAGCCAGCACCAAAACCCAGTGGGAAAGCTTGGCATGGGGTTTGGCAGAGAATGAAGTGAGAAGAAGTAAGAAATATCTTACCTGTGTGCCTGGTCTATAGGAGTCTAGGCCCATTTCCATAGCAAAGGGCCTCAAGGTCTGGTTGCCTGTCACGGACCATAAGATTCTCCATTCCCATAACACTGCCACATTCGCACTCTGCAAGGTCGAAGAAGGAATGGGTGTTGATGTCACCAAGCATGCAATTGGCTACCTTCAAACTTTTGACAGAAAGCAATGCAAAGATATGCCAGCCCAACTAGGGACTGTGGATCATATGGACAAGGCATTGGGAGCACTTTGTGGCTGCATGTCCCAGGCCCGAATGAGCAAAAAATTATATATTGTCAACATGGTAAGTTTCGAAAACAAAGTCCATGTGATATGATATTTACACATTGATACACCAACTCACCAGAAACCAGTGCCTAAAGCTGAGGACCTTGGGAAGCATGGAAAAGGTCATTGATCCAATGTGGTCAATGATGCTATTCAGTCCAACCCTGTCAGAGACCGGATGCAAGATGAAGGAAACATCTCCATGGCGGAGGGCTTCAGCCTCAGCGACTTAGACCAGGAGCGCTGTGCCTAGTTACATGTCTGTGCCCTAATTTACTTACTGGCAACAAGAACTTGAAAGAGGGAAACTCTAGTCGATTTTATCACTAGGGTGTAACCTATCTACAAGTTATGTATATATAGTTACTTGGGGGGTGGGCCTGTGAATGACGGGACCGAGCAGAGCGGAGCTAATGGAGTTACATGTTAGCTGACTGAATATCACCGACAAGTTGGGTTACGGGTTTTAGCAGAGTGACGGCTATAACCCAGAAATGGAAAGGAGGGATTGGCCTGAAGGTAGGCTTGCAGGGCAAGCAACTAAATTGCCCAGTGGAGGTGGGAGTGCACTAGCGGATGTCAGAGCTGTCTGGAGGCCTTCAGGGCTCCATACTAAGGAAGGTGTAGGTAATATATTGGATTGAGGGGGTGGTGACCATCGAGGGAGTCGGAGGTGATTGCAGAATATGGAGGCTCCGAGGTTAGTGATGAAGGAGTGGAGGTAATCTGGAAGGAATGGAGGAAGTGGAGGGTGATGGCCATGGATGGATATGACAAACCCGGCCTCTGAACAGTACACTATGCTTGAAAAGCAGTGGGAATGTCAGAAATGCCGTGGTTATTGCTGGCCACATACATGTGCAAGGGGAAAGCATCTCCACCTTAGCAATGCAATGATCTCCTTATGGGCACAACAATGGGTATGTAATATTCACACAATCACACTAACATCAGTCTTACATTTATTATAGACTGACAATGCCCCTGGTGTTGACCTGCACAACCCCCCAGCTCATCATTGGTTTGATGTGGCAGCTCTGGGGAAACAGACTAAGGCCATCAATGAGAAACAACGCAAAGAATCTATGTGATGACATACCACCAATTACTCCTACGGACTCCAAAACCACAACTACACTGACCACTCCAATAAAGAAGGTGAAGCTTGAAGTCACACCAGAAAAACAGCAGCCTGGAAAGGAACCAATAATCCTTTCTTCTGACCCAGTAATGCCAGCAAAAAAGGATGCAATAATCCTTTCTTCCGACCCCATAATGCCACCCTTCCTCCATCATTGCATATCCTGAGTCAGAACCAACATTATGGATCTTTCAGCTTCCCCTGTCCCCAGGAGGAAGGATCCTGTCATTCTCAATCTTTGCAGCAATAGCTCCGCAGATGATTTCCCCAAATCTGATGTAGAGTAATGGATTCGAAAATATATTTGTTATTTAACTTAAATACACAGTTCTAAGCCAAATAACCTGAGTGGCTAAACCAGCTGCATGTTGAAAGTTCAGTAACTGAATACACAGCTTCAAGAAGCAGTGCCTTTACTGCATCCCTATTGCCCCTGGATAGCATGGTGTCAACACGATTCCTATTGAGATGCAGCCAATGTTTGATTGAAGAGAAAGCCTCTTCAAGTCAGGGGAGTAAGGGGGGAGGAAAACAAGATGGATGCCTCTGGAGCCAATGAGATCAACCTTGAATAAACACAAAACATATGCACTGGTTGGTGCACATTTGCTCCAGCTCATCAGACTTATGGATTGATGCATTATCCATAACAAGAATGGACCAAGGGAGGGGAAATCTGTTCATGTGAGGAGGATTGACCAGACAAAATCGTTGAATGTAGCTGTTGTATAGGCACCCTCCTGAATGTTGACATGGAGGATGCCTTCAACAGTGAGTGCAGGCAGTATAGAGTACCTGAGAAGGGGGGATCAGTAATGAAACACAGATTTGGAGTATATCGGGTACTTACTTAGTACCTCGCACAAAAAAGTCCTGACCACGTGATCAATCACCAGATGGTGCCCAGCCGTGGGAATGTGAAGAAGTATTTCAATTACAACCAGTCTCATCAATGAAAACGAGGTGTTCCACAGTGTAATGCTGACTGGTATGCTTGTCACAGCCATGCATTCCAGCCCATTCCCGGCCTGTCCCAATGCCACCTGAGCCCATTCCCACTGCACAAGCATGAGCATGAGCCCCAACTTCATCCCTGATGGCCCCCCGCTCACCCCCTGCTTGCCCATGGTTCCCCAGTACTAGACCAGCTCCCCCACTGCCACACCAACCTCCCCACCCTGAGTCCGCCTCTGGCACCACACCAAGCATGACTCCTCTACTCTGCCCACTTGGCCCTCACCGGGCTGCTACCATTCCCATGCCCGACTCTGGCCCAACTCCAAGTCCGGTGTTATGGGAATGGACCTAGAATCTTATGGTCCATGACTATAGACAATCAAACCTTAGCCCCTTCAACTTTATTTCTTTGTCAAACCCCATGCCAAGCTTTCCCACTGGGTTTTGGTGCTGGCTGGGGGATTTGTTGAGTTTCAAGGGACTTCCTTTGACCATTATGATTTTTATATTAGATAGTTAGAAGTCATATGATGTATAAGGCAGATGCCGGAACTGTTCTCTTTATCAAATATACAATCTCAGACTATCACCCAGTGATTGTAACTGTCATCCCAGTGTGCCACCACCTGTAAACCTTCCCTGTAACATCTGACTTGGTCCATATTGATGTCTACATCAATATTCTTACAATCCATGAGGAATGTTAGAACGCGGAGATTCGGACGACTCCGGAATGGAATCGGAGACTTATCATGGAAGGACCTTGGCCTCAGCAACTCATGCGGAGCGCTGTGCCATTGCTGGTTGTCCTAGGGGTCCCTAATTTCGGATCTAGCAGAGGGAAAGTCTCTTGGGGGGAATTCAAGTTGATTTCGGACTGAGGTTACAAGTTACTAGGTACATTGTATATAAGGAGGGGTCCGGAATCAAAAGGAACAAGGGTAGGACGAAAGGAGACAAAGGGAGATGGAAAGAGGAACAACACCGAGGGTCAAGTGTTTGACTCAATGGTGTTTCCCAAAGGAGGAATGAAGGGCCAAGGCCCAAGAAGGAAGGAAGGAGGATGGGAGTCGGGAATGGCTAGCTGACTGAATAGAAAGGAAGCAGCAGCCCAAATAGGAGTGAGGGAGAATAGCGGAATTGAAATGGACAATGCAATAGTTGCAAGGTCCGGAGTAAGTCCGGAA